GTAGTTTGAAGCCATGGCTCCCTTGCGTCCTAGTCTCCAGGGCAGCAGAAAGGAAGCCTGATCCCTCCTCCCTATGACATATTCCCCTCACGTATGTATACATGGCCCTCATCATGTCTCCTCTCAGCCTTCTTTTCTTCGAGCTAAACATAATATAAACATTTATAAATGTCTTAAATAATAAATAAGCATGGCCGCCTCTTTCAGCCGCTCCTCATAGGGCTTGTTCTCCAGACACTGATGGAATCGTTCCAGGAGTTGTGTATGACGTCTACAGGCAGTCCACGTTTCGCAGGTGTACAACAGAGTTAGCTTTATCAACAAGCCCTTTGGTCTCCCTACGGAGACTCTCTGCTTCATTTGGAAAAATGCTGCACTCACAGAGCTCAGGCAGTGTTGTATTTCCGTGTAAAATGTTGATGTCTGTAGACAGTCCATGTCTCGCAGGCTTGGGAGAAGGATAGCTTTATAAACAAGCCCCTTGGTCTCCCTGCGGATGTCCCAGTCCTCAAACACTCTCTGCTTCATTCAGAAAAATGCTGCACTTGCAGAGCTCAGGCGGCGTTGTATTTCAGTCTCAATGTTGACTTTTGTGAAGAGGTAGCTGCCAAGGTAATGGAAATGGTCAACATTTTCTAACATTACACCATTAAGCTGTATTTCTGGCGTTGGAGAGGGATTGACTGGTGACTGTTGTAGGTTTTTCGGGCTATCTGGCCATGTTGTAGAAGCATTCTCTCCTGGCGTTTCGCCTGCATCTATGACAGACGTTGTGAGGATACTTGCCATAGATGCAGGCAAAATGCCAGGAGAGAATGCTTCTAGAACATGGCCATATAGCCCGAAAAACCGACAACAACCCAGTGATTCCAGCCAGGAAAGCCTTCGACAACACAGGAAACCATCTGTCTGGCCTGCAATGGTTCTATTGTCCACTAGATGGCTCTGTTGTGCTTCATCAGAATTTGATTAACAGGCTATTTGTATACAAAGCTGCCATACATCTGAGATATATCTTAAATTATAATGTTTGAGAAATAATCTTTTTAAATGCACTTCATAATTACTGAAAGCAATACATTAATTGGCCATTAGATGATATCGCTGCCTTGCCTTCTCTATACACTTCCCCTATTTCATTCTTTTATTTTTACATTTTTATTATGTCCAAAATGTACACATAGAATCCTAGAATCGTAGAGTTGGAAGAGCCCTCCTGGGCCATCATCCAGTCCAACCCCATTCTGCCAAGAAGCAGGAACATTGCATTCAAATCACCCCTGACAGATGGCCATCCAGCCTCTGCTTCAAAGCCTCCAAAGAAGGAGCCTCCACCACACTCCAGAACAGAGAGTTCCACTGCTGAACAGCTCTCACAGTCAGTCAGGAAGTTCTTCCTAACTTTGTTATAGTTTGAAGCCATTGTTCCATTGTGTCCTAGTCTCCTGGGAAGCAGAAAACAAGTGTGCTCCCTCCTCAATATGACTTCGCCTCACATTCTTATACATGGCTATCATGTCTCCTCTCAGCCTTCTCTTCTTCAGGCTAAACACACCCAGCTCTTTAAGCCGCTCCTCATAGGGCTTGTTCTCCAGACCCTTGATCCTTTGAGTCGCCCTCCTCTGGACACACTCAGCCATAGAGTCAACATCTCCCTTCAGTTGTGGTGCCCAGAATTGGACGCAATATTCCAGGTGGTCTAGAATAGAGCATGGGGAGCATGACTTCCCCGGATCTGGACACTGGACTGCTATTGATGCAGACCAAAATCCCGTTGGCTTTTTTAGCTGCAGCATCACATTGTTGGCTCATGTTTAACTTTTTGTCCACAGAGATTCTAAGATCTTTCTCACATGTACTGCTGTCGAAAAGTTATTGAAAAGTTATTGAAAAGTTATTTGTAACACACTTCCTTGAATGATGAGTTAAGATGGAGCCAAATCCATTCAAGAGACAACAGACCCGCGTGCTGTGACTGCATTCAGTTGTGGCTTTACTTGCAAGGCCGGCCAGTGGAGGTATTTCTCCAACGGCAAAAGGCCACGGTCTCTTTTGTGGCAGGCTTGGATGGGAACCGTGTGGTGTGCCCCACTCACCTCCAGTTTGAAATGCATTCCCTGCATCTAAAATAGCTCAACGGTGGTAAATGGTGAAAATGCCCACAGCCTTTTTTT